CCAAGAGATCAAGTCTCAGACTGAGATGCTTAATCCATGGGATTTAGGAGAAAATAGAGACGAAGACACACAGTTAAAAATCTGTTGAGTGAAGAAAACAATCAGGAAGTAGTCTTAGAGAAATATGGGGCTTGTGCTGACATTTACAATGAGTAGATGAAGTGTGTCTCCAGCTCAGGTTTGTATGAATCAGTTGAGTTTTTTTTTTTTTTAAAGGATCAAAGAAAAAACAGCCTATATAGAAACACCATAAACTCAAAACCAAAAATTACAGCTGTCATGTTCTTTTTCCAATTTTTAAGTGCACACACACACACACACAAATGTCTTAACTACAAGAATCCACCTTTAACGTATCACGGCAAACAGAGATGGCCAAAGTCTGAGGCAACCCCTAATTTCTGACGACATAAAACCAAAGTCAAACTTAAAATCAACTGTTGTATTAGATTAACATCAAGGATTCACAATGGCATTCATAAAACTGAGGCCTTTGACTCCTTAAAAACCACAAACTCAGATCCCACTAGGAAGCATTAACACAGTAGTTTAGAATATGCTTAGGATTTGTGGGATTTTGCAAAGCATGTTCACTTCTTAAGAGCCTTCCCGGCCGGGCGCGGTGGCTCACGCCTGTAATCCCAGCACTTTGGGAGGCCGAGGCGGGCGGATCACGAGGTCAGGAGATCGAGACCATCCTGGCTAACACGGTGAAACCCCGTCTCTACTAAAAATGCAAAAAATTAGCCGGGCGAGGCGGCGGGCGCCTGTAGTCCCAGCTACTCGGGAGGCTGAGGCAGGAGAATGGCGTGAACCCGGGAGGTTGCAATAGTTTGTTCTAAGTTAGACATGAGCCTAAAAAAAAAAAAAAAAAAAAAAAAAAAAAGAGCCTTCCCTGAAATCACCAGGAGTTAGAAACTCTTAAGAACTGTAGAATTGGGTCCTCAGTGTCATTTGCATAGCTCCTCCGTGGCCTACTATCGAAGTAAACAAAATGCCACGGAGCTGCCTGATGTTTTTGCGCCTCACACTCCCTCCAGCCAAACACAGAGGACGGAGTCAGCTTCATGAGGAGTTAAAAATCACGGGAATTTTTCTCTACTTAAAAATATTGCGGGAGACTCACTTCTGTACGTACGATGATTTTTTGCACTTTTTTCCCTGCCTCTTAGTCTAACAAATACATTTTATAGGTTTTACACGGTTCTTTACAACTCACCTAAAACACATAGTTTTCCTCCTGCTTATACCATTTATTTATTATTTATTTATTGGATTTATATTGTGCTTTCCTCCAAAAGGCTCAAGGCACCATGCAGTCAACTCTAATATAATAAACATTAAACTCTTCCTTAGGACCATAAACAGTGAAATAGCCAGAGGAGAGGAAGAAAGGATCTGAACAAGGGCAGGACAAAGGAAAGGCGTGATTCCAGCAACATATGCAACCAAGTAGCCAATATGTTAGGAGACCTGGTGATAAGGCCCAGTCCCTGCCCCTCTCAGTGGGCCCCACCTGCAAAGACCCTGACAGTATTTTCTATATGGAGAAAAAATATCTCCATTCTTGCAGTGAGAGTGAGGGAGGGTATGCTAGTTATTCTTCAGGGATTTCAAGAGAATATCTGAAAACAAATATACCTACACAGACAACTGTATTTTGAATACAGTGGAAAGAGAGACAGTAGAAAGAGATACATGGTAATGTTTTATAACAAGTATTCAAAGTGTTAGATTTTTTTTTACAAATACAATTCAGGCTCAGTCCTCAGTTCTGCTGAGTGTCTCCTGACTTCCAAAGGATCTGCACACCTTCAGAGGCCAGGGCAGCACAAAACTGCAAAGATTATCAGAATCAAAAAGAGACAGGCTGTTCTTGGCTTTTCAATCCAAGCCTTGCTGATTTGATAAAGCCACCAGTGAACTTCCTGCACTGTAATTCAGTCAATGGTGGGAGACATGGTTAAACAGTAACTCTCCTGGCAACTGATGGTGAACTAGTCAAGCATGAGCAAGGAAGGAACATACTCTAACTAGCAGTCAAAACAAGAAATGACCATTCCCACTAAATGGAGTCGACAGTGTAACTCTCCTTCTCTCAGAGTGCAAGAGAATACAGCCAGGAGAAAGAAAAATAGTAATAGTACTGGCATTAATATTAGTATTTGGTGAGAACTACATGCTGGCACTCCTATACCACAGTTACATATGCTCACCTTTTTAGTCCCTAGAACAAATCTACAGAGTGAGTATGACTATGTTTCAAATTTCACAAATAAGGAAACAGAGGCTTAAACACATTATTTGCCCAAAGTCACTCTGCTGGTAAGTGCTTGAGCTAAAATTCAGACACAGCACGAAAGGATCAGGAAGAGATCCTAGGGTGGAAAACAAGCAAACATGCAAAAGTTATTCTGTGAGTTGACAAAGAGAGCAGACTGATGGCTCTTGGCAGAGCATGCTGGATCAAGTACCCTACCTTGTAAACTATAGGTAGAAAGTTAATAGCAGGTTAGAGGCCACACATAAAGACCTCAAAATATGGCAGAAGCAAGCCCAAGTCAAAAGAACATAGGATAAACTGGCTCCAAGTAGACAGAAGAGATGCAACAGTATCATGATCTCTTCACATGAGATCATGTGAAGATAGGAGCTCCGAACGGGCCCGTTAAAGTTACTTCCAGGTCCTAAGCGGGCAGGAACTGAAAGTTGGTTGTTGACACCCACTCTATTGTCTTGTATAACTAATTGCATGTTTATGTCAAGTTAACTGTAGAGTGCCACAGTGAATCATTCTTTGTAATTCTTTTGTGATCCTCCCAGATACAAATAACATGCATCGAGCAATTACTAAATGCCAAGCACTTAACATATATTACCTTATTTAAACCTCATAGCTGTGCTACACAGGAGACACCATAATAATCTCCGTCTGAGAGGTAAGGAGGCACAGAGAAGATAAGTCATTCGGCCAAAGTCACAAATCTAGTAAACAGAGAGATCGAATCCAAGTCTAAAGAGTCTTCCCCCAAAACTCATCTTAATAATCACCAATGCTTTGTTGCTTCTAGCATCTGATTCTGTTTACACCATGCTGGTGCTCTATCATGCTTTCTCTGTTTTTCTGACCTCTCTTTTGAGAAGGAAACTAACCAAGGTCATTGTTTTTGTTTTTATTCCTAGAGGGTCAGCCTATTCAGTCACCTTCTACGACAAAGTGGAAATTATCTGGAAGAAGATGAAAGATCCCATGTAGCGGGAAAGGTGGCATGGAATCTCAGCCAGCCAGGACATTGTCAGACGTTCTTTTAAAAGAGCCTGGTATCACATCATATATGTGCAATAATATACATAATCCCCCAGTGGGAGATGTCTTCTACATGGTAGTTATCACAACTGTGTAGTAGAGATTTCTCCTTCCCATTCTAGAGGATGAGGAAATAGCAACTGAAGCTGGGAATCCCAAGCAGCATGGGTTGTACCAGGATCAACTTGTTCTGTTTCTTTGTCTAGAAAGATCTCCCCATATTCAAATGGCACTCTCCTCCTCATATCTTAAGTTTAGACGGGATGATGCTAGTTCACAAAGATCCTCCTTGATGACCCATCCTGAAGAACTGGTTTTCACATGACCCTTTCCCACAACATCCTATTATCACCATAGCACTTACCATAGCAGTCATTATTTCATTGATTGATTGACTTGTTTTTCTTGGTGTGTAAGTTTTCTAGGGGTGCTGTAACAAAGTGTCACAAAATGAAAGGCTTAAACAACAAAAATGTATTCTCTCACGGTTCTAGAGGCTGGAGTTCCAAAATCAAGGTGTCAGCAGGCTCATGCCCCGCTGAGACTCTAGGTGAAATCCCTCTTGCCTTTAAGTTCGGTGGTGACTATTGCTCCTTAGCTTACTGTGACATTCCAATCTCTCTCTCACACACATAGTGTTCTCCTTGTCTCTTTGTTCAAATTTTCTTCTTTCAAATTTCCAAATTTCTCAGTGTCCAAATTTCCTTCTTCTTAGGATACCAGTCATACTGGATTGCATATCTGCCCTACTCCAATATGATCTCATCTTAACTTGGCTAATTACATCCTCCAGTGGCCAGTTCTGGCTTCTAGAACTGTAAGAGGATACATTTATATTGTTTAAGCCCCAAAGTTTATGATATTTTATTACAGCAATCCTAGGAAGCTACTACAATAACTCACTTTGCTTTGTTTAATCTAGGGTTTCACATACTTATTTGGCCAAATAAATATTTTCTCCATGGTAGCTATTAACAATCTCTAATTCCCTGCGGGGGGGGGGGGGGGGGCGGGGGAAGGCGGACATACGTGTTTTAGAAAAGTAAAGCTAATCTTCCTGTTTTACAGATGAAGAAACTGAGACTCAAGGAGGACAAAGAATTCACACACTTGTGTGTGGTAGGATGAGGACTAGAACTGGGGCTCCACAGCCATTCTGGGTGCTCTTTGCCATTTGCTTCGATTCACTTCTCAGCTGCCCCAGGAAATAGGGTGGCATACAAGATTAGGCTTGGCTTGGCGCTCACTAAGAATAGAACAGGGAACTTTTCCCAATTAATGAAGGGCTCTTCGAAAAAATCGACCCAATATTTTTCCAGCCAGTAGAAAAAACGATTCTCCTTTGTAGAGGAGTTGGGGCAAATGGGTTCTAGAAATAAATTATAAAAGCAGCTGGTCTAATGTAAACTGATGTCTCAACTGAGTTTGGACTGACTGAAAATCCAGCCACAGCTTAGTTTTCACGTCTTCATCCCTCCACCCTTCCTTTTGCCTAAAGAAAGAGACAAGAGAATGTGAGCCCCCACTCCCGACATGTTTGAAAAGGGAAACAAATTCATTGATAACATTGTGGACTGTTCAATTCTTTGCTTCTTTTCTTTTTGCCTCCTTACCCTCACCATCTTCCTCAGGTACACAGAACACACCAGGAATAAAGCATTCCCACCCCAGTGAAGGCCAGAGCGTTCCCTACCTTCTACTTGATAAGCCGCAGTGGCTGCCGCCCATCCAAATCCCACAGGGAAGGCCATGGTTTAAGAAACTGTCTACTGGGATCCTCAGCTGCCAGAAGCAGAGCACCCTTTGGCCAGAGGAGCCAGGCAATTGTGCAAACAGAAAATGAGCTCTCACCCCAGATTGGAGCCTCAGAATGCAAATATTTATGCAAACAAGAAGGAAGCAGGGGCAAAGGACACTTGACTGCCACAGCCTTGATAAGAATTCAAGACACTTTGTACCAGGCCATCAATTATACTTTCTTCCCCCAGCACTCCCTGATTCTTAACAGAGTTGATAACCCTGGGTGCTAAGTCCCTGATGTGGCAGGGCACCCATTTACCTGATGTTTTGCCTTTTAAAGTAACATTAACATTGTTTTAACAAGTCATATAATCCTACTAGAATTTTCCCTTAGTTCATGGATCATCCCAGTTCCTGATCTGTACTCTCTAGAGGTAACCACTTTTAACCATTTCTTCTGGTATTTAATCCTGTATTGTTTAAATGATAGGTGGTGCTTCTTATTTTTTTCAATTTTAGATAATTATTGACTTCTGGGTATAGGGCAGAGGATCTAGCTTTCTCTCTCACTCTCTCTCTCTCTCCCTCTCTGTTCATCCTCCCTCCCTCTTTCTCTTCCACCTTCTCCCATCTAGCCAACATGATAAAATTACCTTTTCATTTAGATGAATTCAATATTTATATTACTATGAGTCTGTATGGCTCAAAGCTGAGCCATGTAGTATACATACCATGCTTCCATGCAACTTTTAATTTTCTCTGGGGTTAATCCACTGCCTGATCTTTATGTTTATTTCATTTTCTTTATACCTATTACTAATTCATCCCCAAACACTCTGACAGAAGAATACATCTCTGAGTTGTTCAAACAACTCTGTCTTCCCGCTCCATTCTACACTGTTTATTTTTTAGGACACCATGGAGCTTTCACCCACAATCTCCTTCACATCGTTCAGACAGGCTCCTTCCCCTCTCCCCTGGTCTTTCTCTCTTTGTTTCTTTCCCCGCTTTAGAGAAGCACATCCTCAAATAGCTGTCTGATAAAGGGGGCATGGGACATAAATATTTCAAAACTCTGTAGTTGTTCTAGAATTATCTTTAGTCTAACATTGCTCTTAATATGCAGTTTTGTACAGGATTTTATGATGAAAATAATTTTCACTCAGAATTTTGAAGGCATTGGTTGCTGGTTTTCTAGCTTCCGGTGTGGCTACTGACAAGTTTGATGACAAGTCAAGTTCTGTTCTTTTATATGTAAACTTTTTTGTTTCCCCAGCCCATCCTCGCTAACCCCCAAGTTTCTATTTCTGAAATTTCAGTCATGTTCATTGGTGTGGAACTTCTGTCCATTGTGCCAGGCACCCAGTGGGTATGGGTTTCTACAGAAATGTAGATGTTGACCATAGGGAAACCTGGATGAGAGGCCATGGGAACTCTCCATACTATCTTTGAAGCTTCTGTGTAAATCTAAAATTGATCCAAAATAAACAGTTTATTTAAAAAAAAAAAAGACTATGGATTGGGAGACCAAGGTAGGCAGATCACTTGAAGCCAGGAGTTCGAGACCAGCCTGGCCAACGTGGTTAAACCCTGTATCTACTAAAAATACAAAAATTAGCCGGGCGTGGTGGTGGGCACCTATAATCCCGGCTACTCGGGATGCTGAGGCAGGAGAATAGCTTGAATCCAGGAGGCGGAGGTTTCAGTGAGTAGAGATTGCACCGTTGCATTCCAGCCTGGGCAACAGAATAAGACTCCATCTCAGAAAAAAAAAAAAAAAAAATACTATGGAAAGAGGAGGTAGGTGTAACCAAAGTGAGGAAGGTTACTTATTTGGTTTCCCTGCATTCCCACTAAATCATTCTACATTGTGTAATGACAGGAACATAAAGTTTGAAACAAGGTATAAGTAGGTTGAAATCCTACCTTCTCCAGTTATCCTAACTCTAAGAAGAAAGAAGAGATTACATACAGAAAGAAATGGGAAAAGACATCGAAGATATTTAAAGGTACATGTTTGGTGAAATAGCCTGAACAATGCATGGCAAACTACTAAATTTGGCTTATGTTGTCATTCAGTTTTGACGCAATTGTAAATTGAGGAAAAAAATAAATATTAAAATGTTTTCATGATAGAACACTAGATGGCAGTATTGCAATTTTTTTAGGTTTGCAAGTTGCAGTATTCAGTGCTATTAAAAATCAGTTGTTTCACTAATGGCTGTCTACACCAGTTGCCCCTGGCTAATTACTACTGCTCTTCTAAAGATACTTCTCCAGAAGAAACAATCTATCTTCTCAGTGCTTCACATACTCTGAAGTTATTAGTCCACAAGTGGCAGAATTAATTTCTCTCAACACTGATTGAGTTGTTGTTCTAATCCAACATTCTCAAGCTTTTTGGTGTCAGGATCTCTTTACACTCTTAAAAATAATTGTGGTTCCTAAAGAACTTTTTTCTTTCATGTGGGTTGTATTTATTAACATTTACTGTATTAGAAATTAAAACCGAGATTTTTAAAAAACATTTATTGTTGACTTCATTTTAAACAGCAGTGAAGAGCATGTTAACAGAAGTTACATATTTTATGAAAAATAACCATATAACCCCAAACAAAAAAAAATATTTAGTGAGAGGAGTGTCATTGTTTTACATTTTTACAAATCTCTTGCATGCTTGGTTTAATAGAAGACAGCTAATGCTCCTATCTGCTTCTTATTCAATTTGTTGTCTCAGAAAACTCCACTGTACACTCATAGAAGAACAACAGAGAAGAGTGGAAAAGGCAGATCATATCTTAGCATCATTATAAAAAGAGTTTTGACCTGGTGGACACCCAAATGGGTCTTGAGGACCTCAAGGAGTCCACAGAACACATTTTCATAACCGTAGCCCTCCTTGAACTCACTTTCCACCCCTCTCCTAAGACCCTCCATTGCAACCCAGCACCCCTCTTTCTCATGTTTCTGAGAGCTCATTTCACTCATCTGCCCTGTACTAGGGCCCAAATGGCTCTAAGGCATGAATTTGCAGCCATCATCTCAGGTAAGAAAGAATTATTGTATTTTAGATTTTTCTGTATACAAAAAGTAGTCTGACTTCATGGTCCCATCCAGGAAGATTGGCTGTTAATTTAATTTGTCATTACTGTATTTGAGTTCCCTCCACTTCATTTTAGGGCCACACAAGAAAATTTGGGTCTTATAATGACCAAAATTCTTTGTAATGCCTGGTGTTTCTATTCCCCTACCTCCCAGTGTTGGTCTGTACCAGTTAATGCCAAGATGCCTACTCTCCAGGTCTACTATGGTCTCTTCAAGTCCACTGATTCTCGGGGCTCAAACCTTCTCCGGGGTGAAGCTCTGAGGTTCTGTGTTCAACTGCGGCTTATTACAGTCACACAGTAGTTCCTCTGACTTCCTGCCACCTTCTGAAGGTACTGCCTCAGAACAGCACAACAAACCTTTTTATTCACGAGAGCTACCAACCTCTGTCCACTCCCCAAGCTAAAAGCAAACATAAGTTACTTGCATTATAGTTTTGTCTACAGTGTGCTCTTTCTAGAAGTCCTGGGACTGCTAAGTATATTAATCCATCCTCACACTGCTCTAAAGAACTACCTGAGACTAGGTAATGTATGAAGGAAAGAGGTTAAATTGACTCACACTTCCACAGGCTATACAGGAAACAGGGCTGGGAGGCCTCAGTCATGGCGGAAGGATGAAGGGGAAGTAAGTATGTCTTCATGTGACAGCAGGAGAGATCAAGTGAAGGGGGACTACACACTCTTTTTTTTTTTTTTTTTTGAGATGGAGTCTCGCTCTGTTGCCCAGGCTGGAGTGCAGTGGCGCAATCCCAGTTCACTGCAACCTCCGCCTCCCAGGTTCAAGTGATTCTCCTGCCTCAACCTCCTGAGTAGCTGGGATTACAGGCATGCACCACCACACCCAACTAATTTTTTTGTATTTTTAGTAGAGATGGGGTTTCACCATGTTGGTCAGGCTGGTCTGGAACTCTTGACCTTGTGATCCACCCACCTCAGCCTCTCAAAGTGCTGGGATTACAGGTGTGAGACTACACACTTTTAAACAAGCAGATCTCATGAGAACTCACTCACTATCATGAGAACAGCAAGGCGGAAATCCACCCCCATGATTTAATCAACTTCCACCAGGTCCCTCTTCCAACACTGAAGATCATAATTCAACATGAGATTTGGGTAGGAACACAGAGCCAAACCATATCACGCAGAGACTGTAAATTCAGTGACCTCTAGGTAAAAAGGAAAAAAAAATCTTGCAGAAAACTTTATTTGTTAACTGTAAAACAAGCTGTTCTTTAATAAGAATTCAGCCCTATTAGTCATGATCTTGACCCAATTTGAATTGCTGAGATTCAAAAACTCTGGCATTCAAAATGTTCCTGCATACCTGTGTAGGAGAAAAAGTAAGATTCTAAATGAACATTTGTCTATCGGTAGCAAAGATGCCTGTGTGTTCTAGCCACCCTTGTTTCCCTTTCCATCTGGGCACACATTTTGACTACATTTTTCAGCAACCTTGCAAATCGTTGTGGTCACATCACTATGTGTCCTAGCCAGTGGAATGTAGGCAGAAGTAATGTGTACCACTGCCAGGCAGGGACACTGCAATCTGCTTACATAATCATTCATGTTTCAGCCATGTATCATCAGCCTTCTTTCATCCACTGGCTGGATAAACAGGCTCCACTGGAAGACTCCAAGGCCCTAGGAACTCTTAGATGGAAGGAGCCTGGTTCTCTGTATCACAGCATGGAGCAGAGCCCCATAACAGCCTGTGAACAACCCACTTTAAACTATGGTGTAAATAAGAAATAAACTTTTATTTTTCTAAACTACTGAGAGTGGAATGTTGTTGATAAATACACTCTCTGAAAACAAACTGCTTCCTCAAGCTTTTTTTTTTTTAACATAGTTAAATGACTTCAAAGTATTTTCTTCCAGAGGAGAGCTTTTTCAGTGACATCGTGTCATTGGAGAAGAAAGGAAGTGGAAGGGAACATGAAAGAGGGGCAGGTGCAAAGGGCACATCTACTTGCAGTGATTTGTGCAATGGATTAGTCATCATGGTT